CTGGGCCCAACCCACCTGGTGCCCTCCGTGCCAGGCCTGGCTTTAAGCTGAGCTTCGGATGCCTTTCGTGAAATTAAAAGGGAAACGGGTGTGGGGCAGAGCACCGCTCCCCGGGGCCCCTGCGGGTTGCCTGGGCAGTCCTGGAAAAGGAGTGGGTGGGCTGCAGACCAGGCCTGAGGATTGCCCGCCTGCCCCTCCCCAAAACACGGGGGGGGCGGACTGGAGAAGCACCCTCCAAGTCTGTCTCCAGGGAAGCTGGTGGCATAACCTCGGTTCGCTGCCTGGCTGGAGCTGTTGTGCAAGTTCACTGAGTCATCGGGTCCTGCCAGCGCCACCGTTGTCTGGCGACGGGTCGGATCTCCCTCCCGACAGCCATTTTGCAGACGCCCAAGCCCCCGAGGCAGCCATTTCCCGCAAGCCCCGGTGGCTGTCAGAAGCCCCAGAGGATGTGCTGCCCGCGGGGCTGCTGCGGCCCCCTCGGGTCCCTGGCCAGGCGCAGCCAGACCCGGGGCCCGTTCCGCCAGGCAGCAGAGGGGCTGGAGGGTAATTTTGCGTGGCTGCGTGCGGTTCTGGGGCCGGGGGGGGTTCTGGCCCGTGGCTTCCCCCCCCCGAAACCCTGTTCTGAGTGTGGAAGGAGGAAGGGAAGCGTGGCGCCCGCACTGTTGGCTAACGGACCTCCCTCTTTTCCCCAGCAATTCTCTGCTCTCACGGAGGTGCTTTTCCAATTCCTGCGAGAACCAAAACAGGTAATTCGCCTTCTGCGACCCGGGGGGGGGGGGACGAAAATCAAAAACTGGAGCTTCCCTCCTTCGATAAGCCCTCCTGGCTTTCAGCGCAACGTGTGAATGCGGCTTACCAGCCAGGCAATTCTGGCCGTATTTTTTGTACACAGCGAGGTTTTCAATAATGGGTTTAATTATGAGCATTTCCCCCCCCAAAACCAAATGGCTAATCCAGCTTCGGCCTGCAGACTCATTCTGTTCAAAAGCTGCGAGTCTTTAGGGAGTGGGCCATAGATTTTTTTTAATGGCAGTATCATAAAAAGTGATTGCCTGAATCTGGGCCTGGAGGATAAGATGGGACTGAATTCAAAATAAAAAACCTTGGGAAAGCAATCGCATTCAGTCCATTTCAGTCTCCCGGCGGCAGCCATCCTGAAGCTTGTGCCCTCTGGGGCGGTTGGCGCTGCAGCTCCCGGAGTTCCCAGCTGATTTTGCCAACCCCAGGGTGGAGCTGCACATCTGGGGGCACAAGCGGCCCTCCAGGCGTTTGCGTTAAAAAAGGATCCAGATCCGGCGTCCTAATGGAAGGACGCAGAAGTGCAAAGGAATGCACTTTTTAATTTTTTTAACTTTTTGTGACTTTTTATTTTATGTACTTTATAAAATGTTTTACGTATCTATTTGCCAAGACGTATTTATTTATTTATTTATTAGCCAGGTCTCTAAGGCCGCCCAGCTCGAACAGGGTGACTCTAGGTGACGTTCAGCACAGATACAATAAAGGAAATTGAAAGCAAAACCCGAACTGTATAACATTAAAACATGTACAATATTTAAAATATGAAAGCCAAAATATAAAATGGCCCCCAAGCACCACAACGTAACAACCAAAAGGGATTCCGCTCAACTCCATTATGCCTGCCTAATGTTTTCAGTTTCGCTAGGCCTCTTCCTCCTCTCTCTTCCCAAAATTGTCTTGAGGGCAGTGAGAGAAAAACGTTTCAGAGTTGTGACGGGAAAGTTCTGAAGAAAGACACCAAGGATCCCCTCTGATTTTCTCTGAAGGAAAACCCCACTGTCCTCCCTGGGATTTCCTCCGAGCAGATGTGTATGGGGTTGTGCCAAGGGGGGGCAACTCTCTGCACCCAAGGCTCACTTTTGTAGGTGTGCTGGAGAAGTGTGAACTTGGAGAAAGACACGGCTTGCTTTTGTCCGTTGCAGGTGGAGAGATTTCTAGCTCAGCTTTCTGAGTTTGCCGCGGGGAATAAAATCAGCCTGGGCCCCTTGAAAAACATTGTCAAAAGCCTCCTGCTGGTGCCCAATGGTGAGTGTGGGGCAGATTCCCAGTTCATTGGCGTGTCTCTGGGGTGGGGCAGAGAACCGAGGGGGGGATAAGGAAAAAACGCTCCTTCCCTCCTCCATCTGGAAGAAAGCCCCTGTGGGGCTCAGTCTGGCAGGACCGCCTTGCTCAGAAGCGTCTGCGGGATCAGAAGCTTCCATCCTGATGACCGCCGTGCGGCAGTCGTGACCCAGACCCTGCCCTTAGGTACATGCAAACACAATGCGTGTTGGAAAGGGTGGGGCTCATAGTGCAATTCCGCTTTTGTCCGTTCTGACCCCCCCGCACTGCAGACACCTCTGACCTTGGAGACCTTCCCAGCAAGCCAGCAGCCTCCCCTCCTTACTTTTCCCCAGCAATCGTGTTAGAAATGAATTGCAGACCTGTGTGACCAGAGCAGCCCCCCTGGGGGCCGATGCTTGCCCAGAAGCTGCCTTCGTTTCACTCGGGTCCTCCTCTCCCCAGCCCAGCCGGGCGGGAACTCAGCTGGGCAAGATGAAGTCCCTGCTGCAGGAGGCAGAACTGGGGGCTTAGAGAGAAAAGTGGCAAGATGGGGAGACTCCCCAGGTTGGCCTCCGTTTCTGGCCCAAATCAGACCCTCTGCTTGGGGTTGTGCGTGCTCACAGAAAGGACGGGCTTGTGGCCGACAATTATCTGACGTGGCTCTTCCGTCTTAATATTGCTCTTAAATAAAGAGCACAGACAAGAAAAACGTTTTATTATAAGTAATTTGGCATTGCGCCTGGGGAGCTTCGGGGCTGGGGTGGATAGCAAGCATAATGAAGTTACCTGCTCGTTTTTCTCTGTCAGTTCGTCCCCAGGTAAGCGGGAGTCTTTACATTCTGTTTGTTCCGTCTGCTCTCTTGCTGGATCTTTTTACGCGGTGTTTATTCCAGGTGCCTTAAAGAGGACTCTGTCTGCCGAACAAGTCAGAGCAGATCTTATCACCCTGGGTAGGTCCCTTTTATGGGCTCCCCTCGTTCTCTGGCGGTGGGTGCTCTTCTCCCGTCTGACCGTCTCGAGTTTCTCCTGCAGGGCTCAGCGAGGAAAAGGCCAGGTATTTCGAAGAACAGGTAACTAGTCACATTCCTTTGCCTGCTGGACTTCAATTGACGGGCCAGGATGGGCTTTTGTGTTCTAGCCCCAAAGCAGTTCCGGAGGGAATCAAAGTCTCTTTTAAAAAACTGCATCCTTAACTTTTCCCATTCTTGCACTGTGAGGGGTGCGGATAAATGTTGGCGTAGTTTCTCGCTGCACAATTCCTAGACAGCTCTCTAAAGCAGCATTTTTCTCACCTTCAGCAGCTTTAAGGTGTATGGAATTCTGGGAGTTGAAGTCCATACGTCTTAAAGTTGCCGAGCT